TATGTGAAACAATTACAGTGATGGTGAACATCTGGTCTTGAATTTAGTCAATTGACCTCATTAATTATCATGTTTGCTGTAGATCTGGTATATAACCTTTATCAAGATAAAAAGTCCCCTTTTATTTGCAGTTTTCTAACAGTTTCTTTCCTAAATAGGTGTTGAATTTTGCAATGTAAAGTATTTTTTCTGTGAAACTTTTTTTTTTTTATTTTTTAGCTGAGCCATCCTGCCACCTTTGGCAGCTCAGTGGCAGCTCAGCTCGGGCTGGGTATCGAACTGCTGTTGCTCAGAGCTCAAATTCTTGAGCGAGCTCTTAACCAACTGAGCCACTCGGCTGGTGCCAGGTGTTGAATTTTAAGAAATGCTTTTCTGATTCAAATAATTCATTGACAATTCATTGATTCAGATGACCATAGTTTTTTGCCTTTTGGTCTATTGATGTGATAATTCCATAGATAGATTTTCTGCTGTTGAACCATCCCTGTATTCCTAAAACAAGGCCGACTTTCTTATGCTATATTAAAAAATAACCTGTTGGATTCAGTTAGCTAATATTTGACCTAAAATCTTTTTGTATATATGTTCCTAATAGAACGAGCCCATTATATCCTTATTTTATATTGTCATTCTCTGATTTTAGAATCACGATTACATTAGCTCCATAAAATGATCTAAGCAACTTTTACCTTTTTTCTATTTCCTGGCATAAAACTTTTATAAGATGGGGATTTTGGTGTTTTAAAAAGTTTGGTAAATTCATTTGTGAAACCATCTGGAACGTCTTTACAAAGACTGACTGACTCCCGTTTTTAAGTTCGTTAGTATTCTTGGTCTGCTCAGGTTCTCTATTGTGTCAACGTTGGTATTTTATATTTTCTCTAGGAATTTATTAGATTTTCAAATTTGTTAAGTTCATCCTACTTTTCTTGTTATAGTTTTAGTCTCTATTCTATCAAGCTCAGTGTCTTCTGTGATGTGGGGAGAGGCAGGAATGTTCTACAGAGACTGTAGTGGGTGGGACCCCTGCTTGAAGGTTTGGGTGCCTGAGAATGGGCGATCGGCATGGGTGGTCTTTTCCAGCCCTGGGGCCTCCCGTGTGCATGGATCAACTGCATTTGGCATTGCGGCTCCAGAGAGCCCTTACTGTGACAGATGAAAGAGAAAGGGTAATGCCTGAGTTTCAGGCCTTCCAAACCTTTCTTCTGACTCTGGGCTGGGAGTTCAGCAGCCCCATGTGTGCGGTGGTGGTGGGCTGGGGGATGGGATAGTGTCTTCCTGGCTTTGCATCTTGACCTCTCGCATTGCGTTCCTCTTTATGCAAATAGTGATTCCACAAAGATTACTGCTCCTTCTTTTTTAGGCTTCATGCTTAGGTGACCACAGGAGCCACTACAAAATTTGTAAATTCAAGAAACTTAGATCCTAAGCAATCCCATTGGAAGGAGAGGC